ACATAATAGCGTGTCAAATCTAACATCCTTGCAATTAACCAAGAGCATGTTTAAGAAAATTGAAGACGGAGAGCATGTTCGTTGTATTATTATGTTCTTGCTGATGGATAAAGAAGGAAATTGTGCTCTGCTCCCTCTCATATCCTTGTCAACCGTTTAAGTACAAAGTTCTGAATTTCAAAAAACAAGAAATGCACAAAATTTCTGAGAATTTTAACTACGACAACCTCCTATTAGCAACATCAGCACAGCCGCTAATACAAAGATAATATCGTTTATCCTCTTTATCAATTGGAGTCGTGAATGCTTAACTTCCTTTGCTTTTACAAGTCAACTGGATATGAGAAAATCCATTTCCTCATCCTAGTTCTAGATTTCATGTGATTGAATAGGTCTAATTTTTATTTATATTTGCTTTTCTTTTTTCATCATAATTTTGATTTTATTATTTACATCATTTTGAATCTTTTTGGTTATAGTGTACCATGATGTTTCTATGTTTCCTCTGAAGCATATACCATTACTTAGCTAATTGGTGTTGTTAGTTTCTTTATATGAAAGAAAGTATTGCTAGGCTTCATTATGCGTCCATATTGTGCTCTATTGTCACTTCTTTTGGCAACAGCTTTCAAAATCATAGCCAGACCTAAGTACGTAACACTACAATGCAGAGTAAAAATCGAAGCAAAATACGATAAAAGTTGCCTTCAGATTGTTCATTCAAGTCAGAGTGAAGGAAACATAAAACTCTATTCCAGTTGAGGATGTGACTTGAGCCCCTGGAAATACTAAAAATAGACTACGAAGCATTATTTCTTCTTCGAAATACTCTAATGACCAGCTAAAACAGCTCCTTGACCAATCTTCAAACAAAATAACAAATAAAAATTAATGGATAGAAACGTCAAATATGTCACTGATTTTGCCCTTATGACACTTCCTAATCCAAGTGGATATTAAAAATTTACATGCTCTTTATTAAGTTTTATTGAATGGGGCGCTATTAGATAAATTTTTGGCTTCACAGTCCACCAATTAAGTGCAAAGCGAGTGGTAAAACTCATTCTAATGGCTCATAGGCAGTAACTGAATTTTGTGTGACCACACAGTTCCTATAAGGAGAAGAAATCCTAAATAAATGCTTTAACTCGACGAGAAACCCGGGAACTGTAGTTGTTCCCGGTGCTAAAAAATGAAATGTCGAACAAACACAAACTTTTTCTAAAAGAAATCAACAAACCAAAAAGATACCCAAAGAAAGATAAAAATACTCAAATTTGCAGCCCAAGCATTCCTAATCGACCACATACCTAATAAGAGAGTTGTAGTGAGAGGGAAAGAATGAACTCAAATGTAGATTCCACCGGAGAAAGAGAGCTTCAGGCGGAGATGAGAGAAAGGACTGAAAGCCTAGGATTTTGTTACGTTTTAGTATTACTAGTATTCGTACCCGCGCGTTGCGTGAAAAATAATAAATATAATCTTTTATAAGAAAATATATTCTGAAAAAGGCTGTATATACAAAGGAGTATGAAAATGCTATTAATTTTTGGAATATGTAAATGTAATGAATAATCGCATAATGAAGTAATAAGAAACACAATGAGGAGAGTCCATAATGTTCTTTATAACCTCAATAAAGCAAGTCATGTATACCGGCTAGAGTTCCATTAAAGAGCGTTTCCACG